AAAAGATTTCTAGGACTTTCTTCGTATTAGATTAAAACTGGGAACCCTGCAAGGCAGTTACTTTTATTTAAGTTTGGGACACTAAACTTGTATTATGTACTTTTTATGTTGCATTTAAAGAAGAGATGAAAAGAAAACTTATCTTCTTCAAGCAAGGAAAAAACCCCAAAAACCTTGCACAGCCACTTGCTTAAATTTAGTAGAAGTACAAGGAAATGATTCATGCAGAAAGTGGATGTTTTCTAATAGTGAAAGCAGGGTGTGTTGTGTCCCGTCCCTGTTTCTGTCTGGCTGTGTTTGCTGCCCAGGAGGAGCTGGGGGACAGGAGCTCAGCCCAGGCTCAGTGTGACAGACCCCGTGAGCCCAGCAGGCTTTGGCTGCAGCCACAGGGAACTGCCAAGAGCCATCACCTGCCTTCATCTCACCCTTTCCATCAGCTGCCAGCGTGGGGGCTGCAGGCACAGCCTGTGCAGGGCTGCAGAGCCTGGGGCAGAGCTGCTCGTGCCCTCTCAGTCCCCAGGAAAGCTGCAGCCCCAGAGCTGTGGTCCCTTGCAAAGGGGAGTTTCTGTGGGCAGTGCTGCCAGGTACAAACACCTGCAAATGACAGAGGGTTTGATATCAAAAGTGTTTCTGTTTCTCTCCAAGAGAGCTGGAGAGGGACTTTGAACCAGAGCCTGGAGGGGCAGGACACAGGGAATGGCTTCCCACTGCCAGAGGCAGGGATGGATGGGAGATTGGGAAGGAATTGTTCCCTGGGAAGGTGAAGCCCTAGGGCTGGTTGCCCAGAGAAGCTATGGATGCCCCATCCCTGAATAATTTTTTAATGTGAATTTATTTCTAAGAGAAGGATAGAGCTTAGGGATAGAGCTTCCCATTCTACAGGGTGGGTAGGTGTGTTTTGGCAATACAGTGCTTGGGTTTCCTCCCCTTATTTGAATGTGCAAATTTTAGCAAGAGGTGTAAACTTTTATTCCTAGATAAGCAGCTTCTGATAGATATTTGTCTTTTCTGCCAAAATATCATCAATGGCACTTGTGATTTTTAGCATGTCTATAAGCAAATGCTACCATAAAATGTAATTGCTTTTCTTGAGTGGCAGCCTTGCACAGAAATTAAAATCCCACTCATGTGAATTTAGTGCATTTTGTGAAGGAGAAACATCCTTACTGGTTTTTTCTGACTCAAACAGTGATGTACAAAAGAAATGTATTGTTCAACTTCCTTACATCCTGACTTCCCTTTGATTCCAAAACAGTCTTCAGGTGTCAACCAAGCAAAAGGTGTTCCCTTGGGATTTATTTGAAGGTGACAAAAGTCCTCTGTCCTGGGCATGGTTTGGGACTGTTTTTGTTGACAGGAAAGTGATCAAATGCAAGGAGCAGCAGCATCTGCTGTGGTACCACACCCAGCCCAAACACAAACGTCGGAGCCATACTTTGAGCCTTTGTCCCTTCCTCCAGAGGAGGTGGAGGAGGAAGAGCCCACCTCACCTGTGTCTCAGGAATGTGCTGGCTTAAACCCAGGTCCCATTCAAATGGAAACCAGTTTAGAAAAGTCTCACAGAGCTGAACTGTCCTGTTGTGCAGTTTGGTCTGGTCTGAGACACTTTCCCTTTTGTTGGGGCTGGGGCTGTGGGTTCCTGAGCTGAACAGCCACTTAGAGAGAGAGTTTGAAAACATGCCTGGCACCAGTGTGCCCAGCTCTGGTGTGGATGTGCTGCTATTCCCTCAGCATCCAGCTGGGTTGTCCATGTGCTGTGGTTTAAGCAGCATCTTAAAGTAATTTTAAGATGATTTTCTGGCCTTTTTGATGTTTCAGTGGAGTTTTTCGTATTACTTATATCCTGACACTTTGAGCTGTCCTTGTGCTCCCCCTGGCCATGGCCTGGAGAAGGTCTCTGCTCTCGAGGCTGGGATGTGCCTGGAGCTGTCAGTGGGAATTACCAGACTTCATGTGGAGCTCACATCATTGCCAACAACAGAGGACCTGCCTCTGTCTTTCAATAGTTCAGTAGGAAAATGGGCATTATTTATGTGTTAGTAAGGTGTAAATGTCAGTAACATTCCTTCTGCTGTGTGTTTTAAGAATCTGCACAGGCCAGCTGACTCAGAGTGCCTCTCCCTGCTCCTGGCTGCTGTCCCCATGGGCCCCCAGCAGCCCCTGCCATCCTGTGGTCCTGGGGGAGCGTGGGGACAGCCTGGGGCAGCCTGCTTTAAAATCAACATGTTAATAATAGAAACATGGGATCAGAATGGTTTGGGTTGGAAGGGACCTTAAAGACCATCCAGGTCCAAAGTCTGTCATGGCCAGGAGCACCTTTGACTAGAAAATGTTGCTCGTTAATGAAAATGAGGTTAATGGGTCTAATTTTTTCTAATTAAATACTCCTTTCTTTACAATATCCCACTGTTTCCCCCTCATTTAATTTTTATTTTGAGTTGATTTTGGCACACCTTGTAATCCACTTGTCCTGTGTTTGTGGAGCCTAAAAATCCATTTAAAGATGGCTGTTGGATCCTATTTCCCTACAAACACAGATGTGTGTGTTACACAAACATGTGTGTGGCACTAAACAATCAATATTCCAGGTTTGCCAAAGTGTCTGTAGTCAAGAAAGTGTAAGACCAGCTTGGTAGAAGTCTGTCAAAGGGAATGTTTTAGAGCTGGCAGAGTGGAAGAGGTTCTAGTGACAGCCTTGAATCAGAAAATACAGTCATGCTGAAATTGCGACTTTTGAGCTTAAAAGCATTAATCTTACATAACTTCCATCCATTTTGGAGTTTTTTTTAAATAGTTGTTATATCTTGAAGAAACTGATGGGAGAGTGTCACTGCAATGGGCACCTGCCTGGTGCAGACTCCTCTGCCAGCACTGCACAGCAAAGGTGCTGTGGGTTAGGTTTATATCCCAAAAAACCCCAGTGTGCTGGTTAGTGCCTTTGACTAACTTCAGCAGTTACTACAGCCTGCTAGCCAGGAGATTACACAACATGTTTTTAGTGAAGGATTTGCTTTCAGAAAGGGAAAAGATGCTGAAGCCTTGTAAAACACTGAAACTGCCTTCAGTAAGCGCCAGGTTTTGCTGAGCAAAGCTCGGGCGGTTTCTGTAGCGCCCACGGAGTTATTAGGATACAGGATTACTGCAGTTTTATTCAGCATGTCAGCTTTCCACAGAATCACCCAATTAAAAGCATTGGTAGCACATGCATTTTCACTGGGTCTAATGAGAACACCAGTTGGAGGTTTAGGAGGCAGGTCTGTGAAGCTGAGAGACCAGAGATGGATGGGAGATGCTGAGCTTGGGGTCCCCATCCTGCTGTGCTCAACGCCACAGCAGAGCCTCCCTGAAGCCTTCTCTTCTGCAGGCTGGACACCCTGGTGGGAGATTGCAGGGAAGGAAGAGAGCAGATGTTCTGAGAGTTCTCAGGGTGCTCCCTGTGGCCTTGCTGTGCAGGACAGCCTCCTGCCCTTGCTGCCCTCCCCACCCCATAGCCCCTGTGCCAGCTACAGCTGGGCACTGTGGGGTTTGCTCTGGCACTGTGGGGTTTGCTCCTGCCATGATTTGGGCACTGTGGGGTTTGCTCTGGCACTGTGGGGTTTGTTCAGGCACTTACAAATAAGTTTATATTGAAAACCACCATGTGATGTTAATAAACCTCCTGGAAGCAGCAGTGGTTTCTCTGTTTCCTCCCTCTAAAGGGAGGGTCCCAGGGTGCTGGTGGTGACAGGGGCTGAGCCTCTGGCTCACTGGTGAAGCCTGGCAGCAGATGAGCCCCATGTCCCACCCGATGCCATCAGTGCCAGACCTCATCCCAGCCTTCACACGTCAGGGTGGACGAGCCCCACGTCGCTCCCGCAGTTCCTGGAGCCAGCAGCCCTTTGGATGGCGGTGCCCTGGTGCAATTCCTGTCTCCTGCCTCAGCTGCCAGTGAGGCACTGCAGGAATTCCCCACCTGCTGCCAGGGACTGCATCATCAGCTGAGTGCAAACCCACAGGCAAGCTGTCAACCAAAATCACCACAAACAAATTGTTATTCCTGCGCAAACAGATCGTAACTTGGCTTGTGTTTGGAGTTGAAAAAGCAGGATAAATGTATTACTATTTTATGTCATTTAGGAATTAGTCTATACAATTCTTTTTCAATTCATTCATTTTGCAAGAGGAACTTTAGATGTTGGAGCATTTAAAATACTCTGGTAATACTTTTTTCCTGTTTTGTGCTGGCTCAATTTGCTTTTTAAACCTACCTGGCTGCTCAGTTGAGGAATCGTAATTCTAAATTGAGATTCAAATTGGTGTGGTTTTTATTCTATTGAGAAATCTTTAAAAAAATGCTTTTGTGACAATAAGAAAGTGATGCCAACCTGGAGTGATTCTATACCCAGTCTGTATGCATTGGCTTAACAGTGCTGAGCAGAGCTTCCTCTCTTGCTCCAAACTGAGCTATTCTGTCTCATCCCACAGCTCTGCAGAAAAGACTGGCAACCACAGCTGTGCTAGTAAAAATACTTCACTACTTGTTACATCATTGAATATTTATTTTAAAACATACTAAATATTAAAACACATTAAGAAGGTAATCTGCGTCCCAATAAACCTGCTCCTCTGTTCCCAGGAACTGTCCTTGCCCTCTCTGATCCGTGCTTGTGACAGTCACACAAGGTGGGCAGTATTGAACTGATGCAAACCCATATCCATACAGGAGCTCTCTAGGCACATTTCCAGAAAGTTCCCATGTTTGATAGTCAATGTTTGCTATTACTTTGTGGAGCAGAAGTGTCTTAATTTTGCTTTCATTTAAATCCCCTGAACATGGAGAGAACCAACGCTAGCAAGTAATGCTAGAGCTAATTTTCCCCTTGCTCTCTCTCTGCCCGGTCACTGCAGCCTGAGCGCTGTGGATGTGTTCAGGCTCTCCCACGCTTGTGGCTGCCTTTGACTAAAGCCATTGCAGGGATGACCCCAGTGAGTGCTGCGCTCCGTTCCTGCTGCGCTCTGGCTCACAGCACGTGCAGGTGGGTGACGGCAGTGGCGGTGCCCAGGGCGTTCCTGGCCGTGCACTTGTAGGTGCCGGAATGGGAGGGCCGGGGGCTCTGCAGGAGCAGGGTCCCCGTGGGGTGAAGCAGCTCGCCCCCAGAGCCCCGGCCCTGCCGAGCTGTGGAGAGTACGGAGCGGTCGGGTAACTCCCAGGAAACTTCTGGCTTTGGGATCCCCAGCACGACGCAGCGGAGCTGCACTGCTGCCCCTGGCACGGTGTGGATGGCTGGTGGGGGTCTGCCCACGATGCGGGGGGCGTAGGCTGCCACCACCACGGGGACGGCGAGGGACGAGTCTCCGGCGTCGTTGTGGGCCCTGCACACATAAGTGCCCGCGTCGAGGGCCGAGGCTGCCCGCAGGAGCAAGGTGCCGTTCTCCAGCAGCAGGTACCTCCCGCTGGCCTGCGGCCGCTCCAGCACACGGCCCCCCGGCAGCGTCCACGCCGTCCTGGGCTTGGGGCTCCCCTCGGCCAGGCAGTGGAGCCACAAGGGCTCCCCGCCAACAGCCCTCACCAGCCCTGCGGGGCGGCTGAGGATACTGGGCTTCTGGGCAACCTCCAGGACCATCAGCTTTTCTATGTAGCCAACCTGGTTCCGGGCAGCACAGCGGTAGCGCCCGGCATGGTGTCTCTCGGGATTGTAGATGGTCAGGGTCCCGTTGCTCCCCGTGAAAAACTGGGATGTCCTGATGCTGCTGGAAAACCTCGTGTCATTGGGCAACATCCAGCTTACATCAGGGGGCGGGTTTCCATCCACAGAACAGTTCAGTGTGATAGTTTCCCCAGGTTTTACTATTATTTTTTCATTGAAAGGGTTTTTGAACATTGGTCTCCGTAGCATTTCTGTGACTTCCAGCTGCACCACCAGCACGGTCTCTCCCCCGTCGTTACGTGCCACACAGATAAAATCGGCTGTGTCTGAGGGCCGGATGTTCCGAATCTCAAGTGTCCCGTTTTTGTGCACCACAATCCTGCTCCCGTAATACGGGGCTGTTAGGAAAATGTTATCAGGCATGATCCACATAATCTGAGGAGGAGGTGTCCCTTCTGCCCGGCAGTCAATGTGCTTCTTGGAGTGCCTCACTGCCGTCACCTTCATGATTGTTTTGTTCCCGTATAAACCATTTATGGTGGGGGGTTTAGCAGCCACATCCAGCTTATACAGCTTGGTGTCATCCCCGCCAGGGTTCCGAGCCACACACACGTACTCCCCAGCGTCCAGCAGGCTGGTGGGGCTGATGGAGAGCGAGCCGTTGGCGTGCAGGGAGTGCCTGTCCGTGGACAAGGAGATCGTCTCGCTGGAGGGCAGCAACCAGAATATCTGTGCCCTGGGCTCCCCAGCAGCTTCACAGTCCAGCAGGGCTGTGTCTCCAGCTGTCACTGCGATGCGTGTCTTGTAATTGTGCTTTATTTGAGGGGCTGCCACAATGACCGTGACGCGGACCTTCATCTCATCCCTCCCCAGAGAGTTTTGGGCGTAGCACGTGTAATCTCCTCCCTCTGCCACTCCAGCTTTGTTGAGGTACAGAGTCCCATTGTCGAAGAGGACGTACCTGCGAGCCCTGTGCCCGCTGTCATCCGCCAGCATCGCGTTGTTCACCACCGTCCCGTCTGGCAGGCCCCAGGAGATCTCTGGTGCTGGCGACCCTGAGGCCTTGCAGTCCACTCTGAAATCCTTCCCATATGGCACCAGTTTCTTGAACTGCTGGTTGTGGTCAATCTTGGCTGGTTTCATTGTGATGCTGACTTTCATCAGTATCAGATCATCCCCAATTCTGTTTCTTGCAACGCACAGATAATCACCTGCATCCTTTTCCGTAACTGCCTCAACAGCCAAGGATCCATTGGGGTAGACATGGATCCGACTTCCCATTCTGTTGTGGAGAGAGAGAGGAAGAGAATTATGGAAACAAGTGCCGGAGGTGAATACTGAGCACTGGAAGGGACTGAGCGTGTTAACAGCACGGTACAACACAGAAGGCCTTTCCAAGGGCACTGTGCCCACCCAGAGTGTCCTACCCTGATGCCATTGCCGATTTTGTGAGTGGTGCTGACTCTGCTGGGAACACCCGGAGGTGGGACTGTCTCCCCTAAGGTGGAGGTGAAGTGTTACTGTGGGAGGGGGTGTGGGAAGACCCCCAAAGAGAGGTGGCAGAGATGAAAGAAACCCCTCCCTCCTGAGCCCTGCTTCACCAATCTGTTACAAGTACATTCCCCTCCTCTCAAATGACAGCCGTCAGCCAGGGCATGATGACAGTAGTTACCTTAATTCAAGTATGACTTGTACCTGTTTTGAGACCTCACCCACTTATAACAATCGGTGTGATCTGTTATTAGGTCTGTTATTAGATATAGGTGCCGTTAAAACATGTTTCACCACTGTTAATTGCTTAAAAAATGGTTTAGTTCTTAAAAAATTGTTTCAGTGCTGTACTAGGCTCTTTCTTGAGCACCGGAGGAGACAGTGTTTGAAGCTCCAATGAGATGGAGAGGCAAAAAGGCTCATACCTGTGCCACTGGTCCACAACAGCCTTGGAGGGCAACCTCCAGATTATCCTGGGCTTGGGCTCCCCACTTGCTGTACAGTTCAGAAGCAACCTCTCCCCAAAATTCAGCCGCGTCAGTTGTTGCGAGGCGATGGCAATTTTTGGACGGGTCTCTCTGCGCTCCACCACGAGGCTGACCACCCTCCTGTCCGAGCCCGTGGAGCTGGTGGCTATGCACTCGTAGGTGCCGCTGTCGGAGGGGGCCGTGCTGCCCAGGCGGAGGGTGCCGTTGGAGAACAGGAACAGCCTGGGGTGCCCCAGCTGCCCCGGCTTCAGCACCGAGCCCTCGGGGAGCACCCAGTGCACGGCGGGCTGCGGCTTCCCCCGCACCGTGCAAGGCAGCTCCAGGCTTTCCCCCGCCGCTCCTGCCACGCTTTGTCTCCTCTCCTCCAGGATGGCGGGAGGGGCTGCAACGACCTGCAGCCTCAGCAGGAGCGTGTCGGTGCCCGCGGGGTTCTCGGCGAGGCACGAGTAGAGACCCCGGTCGTACACGGTGACGGCCCGGATGAGCAGGGCTCCGTCCGGCTGCACTCGAGCCCGGCCGGTGCCCGCGGAGGAGCGCGACAGGCGGGTTCCGTTCGCCAGGAGCCAGGAGATGCTGGGAGCGGGGCTGCCCCGGGCCGGGCACGGCAGCACGGCGGAGCTCCCGGAGTGCGCGGTCAGCAGCCGCTGGCGGCCGGCGATGCGGGCCGGGGAGCCCAGCACGGCCAGCGTGGCGAGCAGCCGGGCGCTGCCGTGAGCATTGGCCGCCGTGCACAGGTAGCGGCCGGAGTGCTGCGGGCCCGCACGGGCGATGGACAGAGTCCCGTTGGGCAGCACGGCTCCTCCTGCGGAACAGCACAGCCCGTCACAGCATGAAACAGCCCGGCACAGCCTGACACAGCCCGGCACAGCATGAAACAGCCCGGCACAGCCTGACACAGCCCGTCACAGCATGAAACAGCCCGGCACAGCCTGAAACAGCCCGGCACAGCATGGAACAGCCCGTCACAGCATGAAACAGCCTGACACAGCATGGAACAGCCTGACACAGCATGGAACAGCCTGACACAGCATGAAACAGCCCGGCACAGCATGGAACAGCCCGTCACAGCATGAAACAGCCCGGCACAGCATGAAACAGCCCGTCACAGCATGAAACAGCCCGTCACAGCATGAAACAGCCCGGCACAGCATGGAACAGCCTGACACAGCATGAAACAGCCCGGCACAGCCTGAAACAGCCTGACACAGCATGGAACAGCCTGACACAGCATGAAACAGCCCGGCACAGCCTGACACAGCCCGTCACAGCATGAAACAGCCCGGCACAGCATGAAACAGCCTGACACAGCATGAAACAGCCTGACACAGCATGAAACAGCCTGACACAGCATGGAACAGCCTGACACAGCATGAAACAGCCTGACACAGCATGAAACAGCCCGGCACAGCATGAAACAGCCCGGCACAGCATGGAACAGCCTGACACAGCATGAAACAGCCTGACACAGCATGAAACAGCCTGACACAGCATGAAACAGCCTGACACAGCCCGACACAGCATGAAACAGCCTGACACAGCATGAAACAGCCTGACACAGCATGGAACAGCCTGACACAGCATGAAACAGCCCGGCACAGCCTGACACAGCCCGTCACAGCATGAAACAGCCCGGCACAGCATGAAACAGCCTGACACAGCATGAAACAGCCTGACACAGCATGAAACAGCCTGACACAGCATGGAACAGCCTGACACAGCATGAAACAGCCTGACACAGCATGAAACAGCCCGGCACAGCATGAAACAGCCCGGCACAGCATGGAACAGCCTGACACAGCATGAAACAGCCTGACACAGCATGAAACAGCCTGACACAGCATGAAACAGCCTGACACAGCCCGGCACAGCATGAAACAGCCTGACACAGCATGAAACAGCCTGACACAGCATGGAACAGCCTGACACAGCATGAAACAGCCTGACACAGCATGAAACAGCCCGGCACAGCATGAAACAGCCCGGCACAGCCCGGCACAGCATGAAACAGCCCGGCACAGCCCGGCACAACCTGACACAGACCGTCAGAGACCGTCACAGACCGGTACAGCCTGACACAGCCCGGCACAACCTGACACAGCCTGACACAGACCATCAGAGACTGGCACAGCCTGACACAGTCTGACACAGCCTGACACAGCCTGACACAGACCGTCAGAGACCAGCACAGCCCGCTCCTGCCCCCTGTGCAACCACGGCCACCATCACACACCAGCAACGAACCACAGACCTTTGCCTATAGAGCGGCAAAGCTTTAAAGTAAGAATGAAGTTGAATCTCCATCAGAGACAAAGTCTGGATAAAGCAGATGGGGCTTTGCAATCCAAACCTGGTACAGCTGTAACTCGATTTGAGTGATTTTTTTACTACGTTTTTATCTCACTGTTCTGGAATAGCAGGTAATGTACAATAAACACTGAATTCTTCCCACAATAAGCAAGGAATTATAATTAAACATATATATTTGATTTTTTAAAATCGTTTCACTAAAGAGCTGCTCCAGAATCAGCACTAAGATGCTCCAGCAAGTCTCTGTCACTGTTTCCAAGTTTACCTTTTACTAATATTTCACAGTACTCTGAAATGAAACAATGCTCGAGCTTGGCATACAGAAGAGGTGCCAAATTACAGGACTAATGGAAGGTAAATTCTAGAGAGGTTTTTCAAGCTCACCTGATGGTATCTTGGTCCACTGTATTGTTGGAGGGGGGTTCCCAGTAGCTTCACAAGGAATAAAAACATCAGAATTCGCCAGCACAGTGAAAGAAGCAAAATTCCCTCCGACTATTCTGGGCTTGGAAAAACGGTTTCTGCTTGCAGAACCTAAGGTGATGGGATTGGGGATGGTGGTGGTGTCTCGGTCCTGTTGCCTTTCAGACCAGGCACTGACAGAGCTGTCCTTGTCCCTTGCCCACGGGGTTTGTGGCGAGTGCAGTGTGTTCCCTGTGCCCTTGGGAGGTGGCCTGGGCTGGAGCCGGCCGTGTCCCCGCGGGTGTGGGGAGGCTCCCGGGGTGGCTGCGGGCACGGCTGGCAGAGGGGAGGGATGCGGGCTGCTGGGGACAGTGACTGCAGCAGGAGCGCTTGGCACGGCTGCTGCTGGGACCGTGGGCTGTGCTGCCTGCTGCTCCCGGACAGCTCCCTCCCCCGTTTTCAGGTCGGCTTTCTCTCCTGCCGTGGCAGCGGCTCCCATGTGCTGTGCAGGTGCTGGCCCTGGTGTGGCACTGACTGCAGCAGCTCGGGCTCTCGGGGCACCAGGGGGCTCGTCCAGCCGTGGTGAGGTGTGGAGCCCCATGGTGGGGGTCTGGGCAGGACTGGCAGCTGGTGACGTGGCCAGCTGTGTGTTCCTCTGTGTGCCCGGTGTGGCTGGCAGGGCCACGGTGAGGCTCTGAGCAGTCACGCTGCCCGGCAGGGATGCTGCTGATGCTGTTGGCCGGGGGCTCCTCCGGGTGCCCGGGGCTGCTGGTGTTTGTGTGGCTGCCGTGGGCCTGTGCTGAGGTGTCTCGGGGCTCTCAGGGATCCCTGGTGCTGTTGTTTTGGTCACGGAGACTGCACTGACGCTCCCAGGCAGAGGTGTTGCAGGTGTGAGGCTCGGAGGTGCAGCGGGTGGGGTAAGAGCTGCCACCGTGGGGGTGGCTGTGCTCGCTGCAGGGGTGGCTGCACTGCTGTGGGCTGCAGCCACACGCTGTGGGACAGGTGTTTTAGGGGGTCTCTTTCTCCTCTGACCTCTCCTTCCTCCCACTCGGAGTATTTTATTTTTGGTGACTCTGGTGTCGGTTTGAGGAGTAATAACGAGTGTAGCTGTTGGCTTCAAGCCCGTTACAGCCAATGCACTGGTTGCAGTAGTGGCAGTGTCCTTTGCAGAGACAGATGTGACTGTGGTAGCAGCTTTCTGCCTTGCCCTGTGTTTCTTCTCCTCTTCCCCGAGGAATGCTGTGTTTTGATGGGTACCCACTGGGTGCTCCAATGGCATATCCAGGGCAGAGGGAGAAGACTGGGGTGCTTCTGGCCTAAATGGATTGATGGAACTGCTTAAGTTATTTAAGGTTGGTACATTTGATACATAGCTCATACTTAGCTGAACATCTGTAGCCATAGCTGTACTTCCTCTGGCAGACCCTGGCCTCCCAGAATTGTGTTGGTGCTCTTTCATACTTGGGATACGTCCTGGTCTAACAGTTCGTCTCCGACCAGAGATTTTCTTTCGTCTTCCATAGTGCTGCTGGAGCTGGGGTGGATGAGTTGGAACATCCTGGATAACCCAGATTTGCTGATGAGTAGTAAAAGTGGAGACAAGTGGTGGATTAGGAGTTCCTCCTGTCTGAGTACTATGAAGATAAATGGGGCCAAATTCAGAACTTGGTTCGTTGGCTGTAGCCACAGAGACCTGGTGGTCTATTTTGGTGGAAACATTATCAATAGACTCAGTAAAAATAAGTACCTTGTCTGTTGTGTTTTGGGGAGTTACAGCCTTGCTGGTACCTGCAGCTTCTGTTGCGGGTGTCACGGATGCAGACTTCAGGTGCTGGTTATTGCTTTCCCCAGAATATATTGACTTTGGCCCAGCAGGGAAGAGTGTGGATGTTCCACTTGGTATGGTTGGTTGTCTTACACCATTTGCTGATATTTGACTCAAATCAGATCTTTCCCATGAGTCTGTAGGTTTTGGAGGTGTTTGTGGCCTTTTGCTGGCAGGTGCCACAGGCTGTGGAAGGGGTGAGGGGAGGGCAGTTAATGGCTCTGTGAGCAGGAGGGAGCTGTTCCAGGCACGAGTGGGATTCGCGGTCTCCTCGGGCCCTGCAGTGATCGTGAGTTCTGTTGCTCTCCCCAGAGCAAATACTGGGGATCTCTCTGTTGCTGGTATCATGAATTCTTCTTCTGGAGATATGAGATCACCAGAGGTGTCCTCCTCATCCTCGGGTACCTCTGAGAGCTTATGGGATTGAATGGGTGGTTCTGTTCCAACTTCTCCTCGTTTGTGTGCCACTGTCAAGTTCCTCCTTGTTTTCTCCAGCAAGGCTGCCCAGCGCTGTGGATCAGCTCTCCTGCCTGAGGAAACAAACTGTCTCCTGTGTCCCCTGAACCTCCTGCCTGCTCTGTCTCCGTGGGGCCAGTGAGGCCTTTTCCCGTGGCTGTTCCTCTGCCGTGCGCTCCGTGTGCCCTGGCTGCTGGCTGCTGCTGCAGCGGATTCCCCAGGATCTGTCAGGGTGGCTGGAGTGGCTGAGGGATGTCTCTGTGCTGCAGCAGAGCGCAGCAGTTCCTTGCCAGAGCCCTCTTCCCACTCTTCCACAGCTCCATGCGTTTTCCTCAGCGCAGTTTCATCCTGTCTGGTTAGCACTCGGAAAACCAAAAGATCAGCACCGTACCGGTTGGCCACAACGCATCGGAAGTAGCCCGCGTCTCGCTCCGTCACCCCTTGTATCCTCAAGGTGCCGTTGGCAAAGATCAGCTTGTTTCCTACAGCCTGAGCAAGAACTGTGTGCTCAGGGGACACCCAGGTGACGGCAGCGTCCGGAGCAGCCGTGGCTGTGCAGGGAAGGTGCAGTGTGCTGCCGAGAGCGGCCGACAGCTGGGCTCCGTTTACCCCGTCGCGTTCCACGCCAGGATCCAGCACCGTAATTCGGAACGAGAGCGCGTCGGCGTCGGCGTGGTTGGTGCTGATGCAGTGGTAGAGCCCCGTGTCAAACACGTCAGCTGCCCGCAGCGCCAGCGCCCCGCTTTCCAGGACTATGATTCTCCCGTCCTCGCTGACGTGAGGAGCTCGCACTCTGCTGCCGTCGGCCAAGATCCACTCCACGGCAGGAGCTGGCTCCCCGGCTGCCTGGCACCCCAGCTCCACGGTGCCCCCGACCAGCACAGTGTGCTCTGTTTGGGTGCTGTTGTCCCTGACAATGGTGGCCCAGTTATGTCTCACCTGGCTCTGGTCATCGCTGGCCAGAGTGACCAGGGCGTGGGTGGAGAGGCGGAGGTGCAGCGTGCTGAGCGTGCTGGCTGTCCTGTCCAGCTGCAGGGCCACCGTGCTCTGCATCAGCCAGGCTGGCTCAGCTCGCAGCTCGGCCTCGATATTGGTGAAAAGTTCATCTTTCTCACTGTAGATCTGCTTGTATTTGTAGCTAATAGAAGGCACGTCAGTTGTCTGCACAGTTTGCTCCAGTTTCAAAGGAGAATTGCTGTACAGTGCCAGGATGCTCCACAGCTGCTGGATGTGTCCATAATCGACACCACACACCAGGAATGCTGAGAACGAGGTTTTGAGCACGGTGCTGTGACCATTTTTGTCAAGTGAGATGGGAGACATTTTTGTAGGTTTCTGGACATTGCAAACCAAGTTGCCTTGATTTCCTGCTTGGTCAGTCATATTCAAAACCACGGATCCTATGGGAGCTATCAAGTCCTTGGGAGACACGAAACTGAAATCCCCATCGTCTGGCACCGTGAGGTTTCTGGATTTCAGCGAGTCGTGGATGACTGGCTTACTGCAGGTGAAGGATGCAGAAGGAAGATCCACTAAACCTTTCCCATTATGACTTTTGGGACTAGCACAGACTGGGCATTGCTGGACACTGGAACTTCTCTCTTTTCTGCACTTTATAACATCTGAAGGGAAGAAAACTTCAGTAAGCTTCTGTGCTACAAGCTTTAGTATTAAAAATTACATACAGCTACTAACAAGTGTTCTTTTGAATAAAATAAAACCAAAGCTTGAAGTGACGTGTAAATGGCAGCAGCAGAGAAAGTCCTACAGTCCCTTGAGTTCCTTATTTTCTTTTTAAAGAATCAAGTGCAATGTGGCCTTGCTCTTGCCAATTCCAGAAAAGTCAGCTTGTTCCCTGTGGATTCTCCTGGTGCACAGAAGCTTTGGACTGGCCAAGGAAAATTCTCCATCAAGGAAAGCTGCTCTTGGGAATGCATTAAGGCCACTGGATTCATTTAATCTGGGAAATGGACTGGTATTAATCTCTCTCTCCTGATTACACACCCCTACAAAAATCCTATCTTCTGGTCTTTTCTGGGAGAATAAATAGATGAATAGAGGACAATTACCTGTGTCAGGAAGAGTAAGATGCTACAATGGGATTAAGGAGCATAAAGAAAGCCTGCAGCTCACCTGGTCTCTCCTGTGCCCACTCTGCGAATCCCTGCAGGCTGCAATCACAGGACCAGGGGTTTCCATGGAGGTAAATGCTCTCGAGCTCTGACATGTAAGAAAACATTTCTTGTGGAAGTGAAGTCAGCATATTGTCAGACAGAGAGATGTGCTTCAGGAAGGATATTCTGAATATTTGACTGTAGCTCAAGGTGACAAAAGTGTCTGGATGTAGCTGCTGAAGTAAATTTCCATCCAGGTGCACCAACCTCAAGGAAGTGAGTCCATAGAAAACATTGGGATTCACAAATTCAATTTGATTGTGGTCCATATGCAGCCGTACCAAGCTGTTCAGGCCATAAAATACATCCTGCTGGAGCACTCTGACCTTGTTGTAACTCATTTTTAAGACCTGTTCATGAAAAAGTAACAAATGCATAATATTAAGCCATGTTGAAGTTATAGGACTCCTAATAAATGCTGCTGAAGGTTGCTGTGTGCAGTGAAAGTTCTTCACCAGACCAGGAATGCCAGGAACTGGAGTTTCTTTAAAGAACTGAGGGGTTTATATGCAGGGTGTTATATTTCTGCACAGTTTGGCTTTTTTTTCATGAAGGCTAGAAAAGGACAGGATTGTACTGAAGGGAAAGGGAAATCTCAATGGAAAACAATCCTCAAAAAACCCCAAACTGACTAACAAATTAACAGTGATAGTGTTTCCTTTTTCAGACACAGTAGTAGGAGCTTTGCAATCTTTCTCCTCTGTAGAAAGAGAGTTTTGACTGCAGTTGCCTGCTAAGATACAGCTGAGAGGTATTTACCAAAGTGTTTGTCATGCTCTTTACCTGTACCTGAGTGCCTACCCGGGAAGGGAAGACATTTCCCATTAGGATACTGGATTCTGAAGGCTGTTGACTTTCGTGTGAATAAGGTAAGAAACAGGAAATGGAAATGTTGCAGAAGGGTTCCCAGTGCCACTGAAAGTTGTCATAACAAAAAGCTGCACTGGGTCATTTAGTTCTTACCTGCAGTGAATGTAAATCACTGAACACCTTCTCAGGGATCATGCTGATCTCATTGCTGTGCACCATCAGTAACTCCAGTTTCTCCAGGCCAGCAAAGTCCGTGGGGCTGAGTTTTCTCAGGCTGTTGTAGCTGTACAGGATGGGTTTAGTCAGCCCCAGCTCACACCTTTTAAATCCAACCAACCCCAAACAAAAGAACCACTCTTTGGGAACGGCTAAAGGTAAGCAGCTCTTCCCCTTGCCATGAAGTCATTCCTTCATGTTAGCACAAAAGGTGGCCACTTTTCCAGGACAGTGTTCTGATGGCAAATTCCCAGTGGATGGGGTGAGTGACAGCAGGCATGAAACACATCTGTCTGTGGTCACTTTGCTATCACTTCAATGAAAATCCTTTGTATATTTTCTGCAGACACATCTGGATGGTTCAAAGGTTATGTGTATCAAAGGGGATACACAGGTCAGACAAATATTGCTGATGGGTCTCATAATTTGATTAAAGAGAAAGGACACTTGCTGGAAACTTCACGAAGGGGCCAGACAAGCCTGGGTATGATCTATTCCTTGCTCCTTTTATCACACAGAGAACGGAACCACCATGGGAGCTGACATGGCCAGACAAGTGAAATTTTCCTTGAACTCAGCAGGTGAAAGCAGAGACCCTAACGCTGAGGGACATTCTAAGTGACAGAATCATAGAAGGGACCCAGAAGGATCGTGGAGTCCAGCCCTTAAGTGAATGGCTCATGCAGGGATCTAACCCCCGACCTTGGTGTTACACCACAGCAACGGCTCTGCAGATTTTAATACATGTGCTCCTTTTCCAGTCCACTTTCCGAGCTCTGAACTATCCTTTCCCAGAGAGAAATCTATTTCAGACTTCTTCCAAGTTCCATGCTACAGACACAACATATTCAGGTAATATAAAGGAAAGCTCAAAACTTTCTGAAGTTCTCATGTGCCCTGTCCTAGATCCCCAAAATTTCTCCTTAGTGTGGGTGGTCTTGGGCTACGCCGGCTGTGGCTGCAGCCACTGCTGAGCACTGCAGAACATTAAACTCTACAGACGTACCTATTGCTTTGGTTCATTTTTAGCCCTAAATCTGGAAGGTGAATTCCTGCAGCGCAAACTGTTGGAAGACAAAGCTGTGTGGGTGTTGAAAGCCCGAGCCGCACGTACCCCAGGTTGATGCGCCGCACGTCCGGCGGGATGCGCGGGGGCACGGCGCTCAAGTAGCGGAAGGTGCAGTGGAGCTCGGCCGAGCCGTGGCAGGCGCAGGGCCGGGGACAGGCGCCGATGGCCGGGAGGGTGGCCAGGCAGGCGGCCAGGAGGGTCCCCAGCCAGCGGGGCCGCTCCCGGCGCGGGGTCCCCATCCTGCACGGATCCTACGCTGCCATCCCCGGGAGCGGCGGGGCCGGGCGGTTCCTGCAGGGGAAGCAGAACACGGGCACTTACAGCGCCAGCCGAGCTGAGCCGCTCGGCTTCGAGCCATCGGCAAAAAAGAATTCTTAACTTGAAAGAAAAACCCGCCCACGAACCAGCCCCCAAACTCTCGGGTTTCCTCTCAGCGACGGATCCGTGTCACGACCTAAAGCGCTGTCATTTGACAGCTGCCCCTCCGTGCCCGTGTCCGACGTGCTGTGCCGGGAGCTGCCGCTCTCAGGAAAGCTGGAATGGCTCAGAAGAGCCGGGGAGCTGCAGCCGGTGCCCGCCGTGTATCCCAGCTGCGGACCCGGCCCTGGTGTGCGGAGCGCTCCCGACTCCGCCGGCGGCTCATCCCCCGGAGGCGTCTCCACACGTCAGCTCCTTCCCCGCCAGGAACTATTCCAAGCAAAATTAACTCATTTCGCATCCCTCGCACAACCCTCCGCGGGACCGGGACCGTTCCCACCCGCGCCTTCCACCTCCGGGGCCGGGCAGGGACAAACCCGCACCGACCCCTCCCGGGGGACGCTGCCCGCAGCCCCGGCTCCCCGCAGCCCGATGGGCTCCGCTCGCTGCCAGGCGGGGAGGGGAGAAACGCCCGTCTCTCCCGGGGATGCTGCGGCACCGGCACCGCACGGAACCCGCACAGAACCCGCATCCCCGAACCTGCACAGAACCCGCATCCCCGAACCCGCTCGGGACCCGCATCCCCGAACCCGCTCGGGACCGGCATCCCCCGAACCCGCATCGCCTAACCCGCATCCCCGAGCCCGCACAGAACCCGCATCCCCGAACCCGCATCCCCTAACCCGCATCCCCCGAACCCGCATCCCCGAACATACATCCTCTAACCCGCATCCCCTAACCCGCTCGGGACCCGCATCCCCTAACCCGCATTCCCCGAACCCGCATCCCCGAACCCACATCCTCTAACCCGCATCCCCTAACCCGCTCGGGACCCGCATCCCCGAACCCGCTCGGGACCGGCATCCCCCG